TCTCTCACATGTGGGCCTACCAGCTTTCTCCTGCTTGATTTGAAGCTGCTAGAATTTATGAGTATATATACGTCAAACACGGTACCTCGTAAGACGTATATATACGGCCGCGACAGTCAAAGGGTTAAACCCTTGATTTATCAGACCAGTGGGGAAGAGCAGGTGATTGCTAATGGCAATAGATCTGAATAGAGAGGAGTTTTTTCTTGTGATCCTAACAGTGACGAGTAATTCTGTATGCACTGAACTGAACAGTTGATCCAGTGTATTTTGTCCAGTATTTCTGGAAGAAAAACTTTATAAAACTGTGATGCTTGAATGTGCGTGGATGTAGTGCAGATGACAAGAAACAGATGATTGCTGATGTTATGAATGAAAAGAAGTTGGATGTCCTGGCCCTAAGCGAAACAAAGCTGAAGGGGGTAGGGGAGTTTTGGTGGGGGGAAATAAATGGGATTAAATCTGGAGTATCTGAGAGAGTATAGAGCAAAGGAAGGGGTAGCAGTAATGTTGAAGGATCAGTTATGGAAGGAGAAAAGACAATATGAATGTGTAAATGCAAGAATTATGTGGATTAAAGTAAAGGTTGGATGTGAGAAGTGGGTCATAATAAGCGTGTATGCACCTGGAGAACAGAGGAATGCAGAGGAGAGAGAGAGATTTTGGGAGATGTTAAGTGAATGTATAGGAGCCTTTGAACCAAGTGAGAGAGTAATTGTGGTAGGGGGACCTGAATGCTAAAGTAGGAGAAACTTTTTAGAGAGGGTGTGGTAGGTAAGTTTGGGGTGCCAGGTGTAAATGATAATGGGAGCCCTTTGATTGAACTTTGTATAGAAAGGGTTTAGTTATAGGTAATACATATTTTAAGAAAAAGAGGATAAATAAGTATACAAGATATGATGTAGGGCAAAATGACAGTAGTTTGTTGGATTATGTATTTGTAGATAAAAGACTGTTGAGTAGACTTCAGGATGTACATGTTTATAGAGGGGCCACAGATATATCAGATCACTTTCTAGTTGTAGCTACACTGAGAGTAAAAGGTAGATGGGATACAAGGAGAATAGAAGCATCAGGGAAGAGAGAGGTGAAGGTTTATAAACTAAAAGAGGAGGCAGTTAGGGAAAGATATAAACAGCTATTGGAGGATAGATGGGCTAATGAGAGCATAGGCAATGGGGTCGAAGAGGTATGGGGTAGGTTTAAAAATGTAGTGTTAGAGTGTTCAGCAGAAGTTTGCGGTTACAGAAAGTGGGTGCAGGAGGAAGAGGAGCGATTGGTGGAATGATGATGTAAAGAGAGTAGTAAGGGAGAAAAAGTTAGCATATGAGAAGTTTTTACAAAGTTGAAGTGATGCAAGGAGGGAAGAGTATATGGAGAAAAAGAGAGAGGTTAAGAGAGTGGTGAAGCAATGTAAAAAGAGAGCAAATGAGAGAGTGGGTGAGATGTTATCAAGAAATTTTGTTGAAAATAAGAAAAAGTTTTGGAGTGAGATTAACAAGTTAAGGAAGCCTAGAGAACAAATGGATTTGTCAGTTAAATAGGAGAGGAGAGTTATTAAATGGAGGTTAGAGGTATTGGGAAGATGGAGGGAATATTTTGAGGAATTGTTAAATGTTGATGAAGATAGGGAAGCTGTGATTTCGTGTATAGGGCGAGGAGGAATAACATCTTGTAGGAGTGAGGAAGAGCCAGTTGTGAGTGTGGGGAAGTTCGTGAGGCAGTAGGTAAAATGAAAGGGGTAAGGCAGCCGGGATTGATGGGATTAAAGATAGAAATGTTAAAAGCAGATGGAGATATATAGTTTTGGAGTGTTGGTGCAATTATTTAATAAATGTATGGAAGAGGGTAAGGTACCTAGGATTGGCAGAGAGCATGCATAGTTCCTTTGTATAAAGGCAAAGGGACAAAGAGAGTGCAAAAATTATAGGGGGATAAGTCTGTTGAGTATACCTGGTAAAGTGTATGGTAGAGTTATTATTTAAAGAATTAAAAGTAAGACTGAGAATAGGATAGCAGATGAACAAGGGGGCTTTAGGAAAGGTGGGGGTGTGTGGACCAGGTGTTTACAAGTGAAACATATAAGTGAAACAGTATTTAGATAAGGCTAAAGAGGTCTTTGTGGCATTTATGGATTTGGAAAAGGCGTATGACAGGGTGGATAGGGGCAATGTGGCAGATGTTGCAGGTGTATGGTGTAGGAGGTAGGTTACTGAAAGCAGTGAAGAGTTTTACGAGGATAGTGAGGCTCAAGTTAGAGTACATAGGAAAGAGGGAAATTATTTCCCAGTAAAAGTAGGCCTTAGACAAGGATGTGTGATGTCACCGTGGTTGTTTAATATATTTATAGATGGGGTTGTAAGAGAAGTAAATGCGAGGGTCCTTGACAAGAGGCGGGAGTTAAAAGATAAAGAATCACACATAAAGTGGGAGTTGTCACAGTTGCTCTTTGCTGATGACACTGTGCTCTTGGGAGATTCTGAAGAGAAGTTGCAGAGATTGGTGGATGAATTTGGTAGGGTGTGCAAAAGAAGAAAAATTAAAGTGAATACAGGAAAGAGTAAGGTTATGAGGATAACAAAAATATTAGGTGATGAAAGATTGGATATCAGATTGGAGGGAGAGAGTATGGAGGAGGTGAATGTATTCAGATATTTGGAAGTGGACGTGTCAGCGGATGGGTCTATGAAGGATGAGGTGAATCATAGAATTGATGAGGGGAAAAAGGGTGAGTGGTGCACTTAGGAGTCTGTGGAGACAAAGAACTTTGTCCTTAGAGGCAAAGAGGGAATGTATGAGAGTATAGTTTTACCAACACTCTTATATGGGTGTGAAGCATGGGTGATGAATGTTGCAGCGAGGAGAAGGCTGGAGGCAGTGGAGATGTCATGTCTGAGGGCAATGTGTGGTGTGAATATAATGCAGAGAATTCGTAGTTTTGGAAGTTAGGAGGAGGTGCGGGATTACCAAAACTGTTGTCCAGAGGGCTGAGGAAGGGTTGTTGAGGTGGTTCGGACATGTAGAGAGAATGGAGCGAAACAGAATGACTTCAAGAGTGTATCAGTCTGTAGTGGAAGGAAGGCGGGGTAGGGGTCGGCCTAGGAAAGGTTGGAGGGAGGGGGTAAAGGAGGTTTTGTGTGCGAGGGCTTGGACTTCCAGCAGGCGTGGCGTGAGCGTGTTTGATAGGAGTGAATGGAGACGAATGGTTTTTAATACTTGACGTGCTGTTGGAGTGTGAGCAAAGTAACATTTATGAAGGGGTTCAGGGAAACCGGCAGGCCGGACTTGGAGTCCTGGAGATGGGAAGTACAGTGCCTGCACTCTGAAGGAGGGGTGTTAATGTTGCAGTTTAAAAACTGTAGTGTAAAGCACCCTTCTGGCAAGACAGTGATGGAGTGAATGATGGTGAAAGTTTTTCTTTTTCGGGCCACCCTGCCTTGGTGGGAATCGGCCAGTGTGATAATAAAAAAATAATAAATAATTTCTGACGTCTGTTAAATACAGGGTTTACTCCTTGTTTATAGTCATTCATCTTCTGGAGTAGCTACTCCAATCTGCCATGTAGAGTGAGAACCCATTGTTTAATACATCAGTCATTTCCCACCAAGGCAGGCTACTCCTGACTTAGTGGATTAGCCTGAGCTCAAGGTTGCAAGCATTATACTTTCTACTTTTGAAACTCAAGTTCAGCTAACCAATTTCCTTGAATTCCTTCATAGTTATTACCATTCTCACCATCCAACAATCACTTGCATCTACTCGCTCTGATCTGACACACACACCCATATTTGTTCTTTCCCCTACCTCTCAAAACCTTCTTCACATTCTCTTTCCAGCTTTTCCTCAGATATTTCCTTCACCAGCTTCCTTTCACCTCAGATTTATAATTTTTTTGTCAACCTATTTTGCTCCATTATTAAATTTATCCTTTTAATTCTTAAAGAAAATTTATTGTAATATATGATTTTGATGAGTAAGACACATGTGCAACAGCTAGGTATCTTTAATGTTGAAATGTTTCACATATGTGGTAAGCTTCTTAAGTCTAATACAGAGGAGAATGTATCATAGACAGTAGTAGTGGTGAGGTAAAGATGATGTACTCAGTCCATCAACCTTAAAGAAATAATTTGAGGTGGTCAGTCCCTCAGTTCAGAGAAGATTTTTGCCATCCATGTAGGCAAAACATTTCAACAGTAAAAATACCCATCTTTTGCACATGTGTCTTACTCATCAACTTGTTAGTATTACTTACCATTTCCAACATCTATGATTTTGTTTCCTGAAACATTTGATTTTTTTCCTTTGCTCTTGTTCCTTAATAAATTATATGCAGTTCATATTCCTTTAACCCGTAAACGGTCCAAACGTATATATATACGTTTTTACCGCTAGTGCCCCAAACGTATATATACGTTTTATGTGTCCTACATTTAACATTGCCACGATAAGCCTGAGTCACCTAGACATGTGAGAATGGGTGTGAGCACTCACTGTGCACCATATTAAAATAATTGGGGATGCCTGGGTACCATATGCTTTTTTTTTTTCCTATTAAAAAACAACAATTTTTTTTTCTCAAAAAAGTTGGGGCAGTACAGTAGTGAACGTATATATACGTTTGGACCGTTTACGGGTTAATTAACAAGCTATGCCTCTCTTCCTGTGATTTATTGAGCCCTTTCATTCTCTTCAGTACTGACACTAGATTGTTTCTTTACAAATTTGTTTCCTATTTTGCCATTTGTAAGGTAGATTTATGAATGGTTTAGCCAATTATCAAAGGGATTTCTGTAATCTGCATTCTTAACTGTGTTGTTCTACTCAGGACACAAACTTAGCCACACAGTAGTGAAAGTAGATAATGTTCAGTGATATACAGAAAGGTGAATATTGATAGAAAATAAATAAATTTGTAGACAAAGAGTATATTAGTTCATAAAGAAATTGTTTTATCATTTGGCAAAAATAAAATTTTTAATAAATTATTGGATTTACAGAAAAAGTGGCAGGTGATGTTATTCAGAATGCCTTTACTACAATGGAGGAGGAAGAGGCCATAGCAGAAATAACGGGTGACTATGAATTTGCTAGAAAACTCATAAAGGAGAAGAATCAACTCCTTAATCCTAGTGCTAAGTAAGAGAATAAGTATTATATTCAGATTTTTTGTGAAACCTTAATTATTTTCTTAATTTAGATCAAATCTACATAGAGGCAGTTCATACTGTAAATTGGTGAAGCATTTCTAAAAAAGGGTACTTAAAGAAAGGAACATAGAGCAAACTATTTTCTCGCTGACATAAGTTTTTTACATCATTTTACAAGCATTATATATTCAAACAGCACATTGTTTGAAACAAGGCACTTCACAATTATATATAATGTATCAGTGAAGGAATAGGGTTGTAAAAGAAGTGAATGCTTGGGTGTTAGGGAGAAGTGTGGGATTAAAAGATAATGACCCTTATACAAAATGGGAACTATCAGTTTTGCTTTGCTGGTGACACAGTACTTTTAGGAAATTCTGAAGAAAAGTTGCAAAGATTGGTGGAAGAGTTTCAGAGGCTATGTAAATGAAGGAAATTAAAAGTGGATACAGAAAAAGGCAAGGTAAAAAAAGTGCGGACAGTGAAACATTAATTATCAGATTTGGATAGAGAGAGTATGGAAGCGAATGTATTTACATAATTGGGACTAGACATATTGGCAGATGAGTCTATGAGAGAGAAACTGATCTATACAGTAGAAGAGGGCATTCAATGGGATGGTAGAGTACCTTAGATAACTCCAGGTTTTGAAATGAACTGAGGTAGGATAACAGCTCTTAACCTGTAATATTGATTTGTGTGAAGAAAAATCTTTGTTAGTTGAGGCATTTATGGAAAGAAAGAAATTTATGTGTGGAGGCAAATTGGTAAATATACCAGAGTATAGTGGTACAGTACCAACACTTTTATACGGGGGAGAAGCATTGGCTTTAAAATGTTGCAGTAAGGAGTTAAGATGGAGGCAGTTGATGTCATGTATGGAGTAAATATTATCCTTAGACTGCAGAGTGGGGGAATTACAAGAATCAGAAGGCTGAGAAGGGGTTGCTGAGGTGGCTTGGGCATTTAAGAAAGGATGAGGCAGATGGTGATTAGGAGGGTGTATAAATCTGAGGTGGAAGGAAGGAGGTGTTGGGGTCATCCTAGGAAGGGTTGGAGGGAGAGGGTAAAGGAGGGTTTTGAGTACTATGAGCTGGAGCATCCAGAAGGCTTGTATGAGCTTGTTAGATTGGACTGAATGAAGATGAATGTTTTTTATGGCTTGACATACTCTTGAGTGTGAGCAAGATAACATTTATGAAGGTATCAAGGAAACCACTTAGCCAAACTTGAATCCCTGAGGTGGGAAGCACAGTGCTGCATGTTGATGAAGTGGATGGATGGAAATGTTACGATTTGGAGGATCATTTGAATTGTTATGTCTGCACACTTATGACAAGACAGCTGTTGAATGAGAGATGGTGAATTTGTTTCCATTTCTGAGAGATCACCCCCCTCAGTGGGAGACAGCTAATGTGTTAAAATGAAAAAGAAAGTTTAGGGGAGAGGAATAAAATGAGATGATAACAAAGAGAACATAAACTTAAAGTATTTCTGGTATAAGTGAAATTGGTGAGATGCTGAATAAAGGTGGTAGGGAACAAGAGTGAGTGTTATTTGGTTGTAGTTACAGTTAGAGTAAGAGGTATATGAGGCAAGAGGAAAATGGCAACAGCAAGTTAGGGAGAGGTGAAAATTTGCCAACTAAGGGAAATTAGAGTGAGATAGAAGCAACTGTTAGGAGAAAGGTGGGCTAGTGAGCATATATGTAGTGTGGGGGTTGAAGAGGGGTGGGATAGTTTTAAAAATGCATTGTTAGAATGCGGAGCAGAAGTTTGTGGCTATAGAAGGGTAGGTGTAGGAGGAAAGAAGAATGATTGGTGGAATGATGAGGTAAAGGATGTAATAAAAGAGAAAAAGTTTGCTTATGAGAAGTTTTTACAAAGCAGAAGTGATATAAGAAGGGGGGAATATATGGAGAGTAATAGAGAGGTGAAGAAAGTGATGAGAGAGTGCAAAAGGAAAGCAAATGATAGAGTGGGTAAAGTGCTGTCAGAAAATTTTTGTGAGAATAAGAAAAATTTTGAAGTGAGATAAATAACTTAAGAAAACCTAGGTAGCAAATAGATTTGACAGTTAAAAACAGAATAGGGGAGTTAGTGAGTGGTGAGTTGGAGGTATTGGGAGGATGGCAGGAATATTTTTAAGGAACTGATGTTGATGATGAGAGGAAGGCATTAATTTCATGCATTGGCCAGGGAGGTATGACATCTTTTAGGAGTGAAGAAGAGCTGGATGTGAGTGTGGGGGAGGTGTGTGAGGCATTAGGTAGAATGAAAGTGGGTAAAGTAGCTAGAACTGATTTGGATCATGACAGAAATGTTAAAAACTAGGTGAGAGGGGATATAATTTTGGAGTGGTTGGTACTTTTGTTCAATAATGAATGAAAGAGGGGAAGGTACCTAGGGATTGGCAGAGAGTATGTACACAGTGGCCCCCTGGTTATAGGCCGGTTTGGTTATCGGCTAACTCGGTTATCGGCGGGTTTTTCGGCGCCCGGTTATTGGCTGTTCGCTTGGTTATCAGCCATTTTTGGATGCATCCATCCGCCAGCTGGGGCAGCTTGCCCTTCAGTTTGGCTTTGTCTCTCGGTGGCTGAGGAAGCTTCTGCTCATACATCCAAACATTTCGTTTGTTTACCATTGTTTTTAATGGTTTTTCTTGCAGTGCAACTGTGAAATAAGTAAAGATGGCTCCAAAGAAAGTTCCTAGTAAAGTTCCTGTGGTAAAGAAAGTGAGAAACACCATGGAATTTAAGCGTGAAGTGATAGAAAAGTTTGAGAGTGGTATGAAGGTGGTGGAATTGCCCGGATGTACAGCAAGAATAAATCAACAATTACATCCATCCTGGCAAAGAAAGAACAAATCAAAGATGCTAATGTTCCAAAAGGAGTAACTTTTCTAACTAAACCAAAGCCACCAATAATGGAAGAGATGGAAAAGTTATTATTATTGTGGATTAAGGAAAAAGAATTAGTGGGAGACAGTGTTGTGGAGTCGATCATTTGTGAGAAGGCAAAGCAGTTGCATGAGGATCTTGCAAAGAAAATGCTTGGAACAAGTGCTGCAGTTTGTGAATTTAGGGCCAGCAAAGGATGGTTTGATAGATTTAAGAAGCATAGTGGCATACACAGTGTTGTAAGGCATGGTGAGGCTGCAAGTTCTGACAAATGTGCAGCTGAAAAGTATGTTCACGAATTCCAGGACTATGTAAAGGCTGAAGGATTCAAACCCCAACAAGTGTTCAATTGTGACGAAACAGGCCTGTTTTGGAAAAAAATGCCAAGCAGGACCTACATTACTCAGGAGGAAAAGGCACTGCCAAGACACATACCTATGAAAGACAGGCTTACTCTTTTGTTGTGTGGTAATGCTAGTGGGGATTTCAAAGTGAAGCCTTTACTTGTGTATCACTCGGAAAATCCCAGAGTGTTCAAGAAAAACAATGTCATGAAGAATAGATTGTGTGTGATGTGGAAAGCTAATCATAAGGCATGGGTCACAAGGCAAATTTTTAGAGTGGGTTGATGATGTGTTTGGCCCAAGTGTGAAAAAATACCTCCTGGAAAAAAAATTGCCACTCAAGTGCCTCCTGTTACTGGACAGTGCTCCTGCACATCCTCCATACTTGCAAGACCAAGTGTTTAGGGACTTAAGTTTCATCACAGTGAAGTTCTTGCCTCCTAACACCACTCCTCTCCTCCAGTCCATGGGCCAGCAGGTTATTTCTAACTTCAAAAACTCTACACAAAAGCAGTGTTTCAGAAGTGCTTTGAAGTGACCTCGGACACTCAGTTGACCCTAAGAGAGTTCTGGAGGAATCATTTCACTATCCTCCATTGCATATGCCCTCTAGGTAATGCTTGGGAGGGAGTGACTTCCAGGACTTTGAACTCTGCTTGGAGAAAACTGTGGCCAGATTGTGTCCAAGAGAGGGATTTTGAAGGGTTTGAGGTTCACCCTGACCCTGACCCTGCTGACCCTGTGGACTCTGTTGTGGCACTGGGGAAGTCCCTGGGGTGGGAGGTGAGTGGCGAGGATGTGGAAGAGTTGGTGAAGGACCACAGGGAAGAGCTTACCACTGAAGAGCTGCAAGAGCTTCAACTTGAACAGCAACAGACTGTGGCTGACGAAAATTGCTTCAGAAGTGGAGGAAGAGGGCGGGGAAGGAGGGGCCTTTTCAGGATTAAAAAAAGGGGT